GGAAAACGTATCGGGGCAGGCACCGGGCTAAGCACTTTATTTTATGATCCCACTAGGAGGACCCACTTCTGTCCCAAGTTGCGGATGAGAAAACTCAATGTCCGAGAGGCGCTGAAAGTTAACAGCAGCGGCGGCTCCGCCGCGGTCTGGAGGGAGCGAGGCGAGTGCGCGCCAACGGCAGTTCCAGGCCCGGCTCGACCCGGCTCCCTTCCTCGCACGCCCTGGACGAGCTCGGACCGTTTCATCACTTCCCGGGACGCAGGAGGGCCAGGGTCCGAACCGGACCCCCGCGCTTTGCTACCTCAGGCGACTTACGGTAACCGACTGTGGGGCTCAGTATCCTCATCAACAACCTGGGGCTGAGAAGCCCCCGCCGAAGGTCGCGGGGAGGGTCAAGTAGCCCGCGACTGCCCGCCCGCCCGCCGAGATCCTCACCGTCCGCGCGCCGCGCTCCCGCCCGGGCTGCTCGGGGCGGCGCGGGGTTCCCACCGCGGGGCCAGCTCGGTGCCGTCCGCCCCCGGCGGAGAGGCCCGGCCGGGGAAAGCCGGTGGCGGCTGTAGGAAGTCCGAGCCGCCTCTCAGCGGGAGGCCGCTGAAAGGCCGGCCAAGCGCGGCCATGGCCGGAGAGATGAGGAGGCTGCGCCCGCGGCCCCGGCCGCCCGCGGCCCCAGTCCCGGCAGCGGCTGCCACAGCGACTGCCAAGAGGCGCCCGCTTCTGAGCCCGCTCCCGACCCCACGTCACGCCTTCTAGAACCCTCCACCCCAAGCCGCCCGGGGCACGCCGGGATTTGTTGTGTGTGGAGAACTGCTGACGCGAGGTCTGCCGGGAGTTGAAGTCCTTGAGGACTACAAAGAAGATGGCTTCTTATCCGAGTCTCCAGGGCTGGACGATGTCCCTGGCCAACCTAGAATATGATCTAGGTTCCAGTCCTCACTCAGCAAGTTATGGAACCTCTGTACCTCAGTTTTCTCAGTAGTAAAACCTGAAAACGGTAGTACCTATGTTCATAAGACCGATGGGAGAATTAAATGGATTAAAACATCTAGAGCCCTTAGGACACTTCTTGGCACATAGTACACGGTAAAAATCAGCTACTAATTCCTTCTGTGTTTTAATGTAAATGAAGTTGATGATGCCTTAGAGGGAACAGCATGGAGGATGAGGGAAAACCTCAGAGCTCTTGTGAGAGGGACTGGCAAGACTTCCAGGCTCTATCTGGGGCATCCAGAGACAAAGTCTTGCTAAAGGGCTAGCAGAATTTGTCACCACAACCACTGATCACAGTCATTTTTCCCATCTCAGGAAATGGCACCATCATCTAGTCTGAGTTACTTATACCAAAGTCAATGCCCTTCAGCCAAAGACCACCAAGAACACACCTGTAATTGACCAAAGATGGATTTATTGACTTACTGCAGTCAGGGACTGTCTCAGTAAGAGGGTGTTAGAAAAGGCGTTCATATAGGATTTTGGTGTGTCATAGGGGGATTTGGGGGCAGGTCAAAGAAGCAGGGCTTTGCTCTGGACTTAATACTGTCAGAAAGCAGAGATAATTCTATGGTTATCTTAGCTAATCTTTTCTAGAAGGTGGGGGGAATGAAGGGAGGCTAAACCTACAGTTGGTAAAGAAGCAACAGTCCTTGCATTGGCCAGGATGGGAGATGTTTGGTCATTTTGTGCTTTGGACAATGTTTAGGATTGGGTTACAGACAGGATTACAAAGGGTGTTGCTTTTATCTTGATTCATAGAAGTCACATCTCTGTCCCTGTTTGATGTTGATGTTCTGTGAAATTGTTTAACAGGGAACACCAGGGTCCACCTGATAGTACCAGGCCAGTTTCAGCTGTCAGAAGATGCTTTTCTTTTTCTAACCAAAACCCTAAGCATCATCATTGATGCCTCTTTTTTGTTCACCATCCCCCATATTTAATCAGTTAGCAAGTCCTATGGGCTCGTGAAAGGCCTCCAGATTTCTCTTCATTTTTCTCCATCTTCATTGCCTTCATGGTAGTCTGGGAAAAAGTAAATGGACCCCTTTGTCTAATGTAATATGATTGATTCAGTTTAAGTTTTCTTACTGACATTTACAATGCAGTTCTGCCTCCTTAAGGTAACACCCTACTTACCTCAACTGGATATAAAAGATATTCTCCTGGGTTACTTCTACAAATGGTCAACTCATTCCTCACCTGAAAAAAAAAAATCCACCCAGATGATGTTATATACACATAGACATACAAATATACATTTATAAAAGGGAGTCCTACTCTCTATATTATTCTGAAGCTTCTTTTCCACCTAATTATATTTCTTGAATGTCTATCCAAACTCATTCTTTTATCCTTTAATTCACAATTCTATACTAAGTTGCATGCCCCTTATCAAGCAATGTATTAGAATTAATAATTTATTAGGTACTTCCTATTTGCAGGTGTTCTTTACCCAGATAAAGTCAAGTATTCCTCATAATAATGCTAAATTGGATGCTTTTATGCCCCCATTTTACAGATAAGGAAATTGAGGCAGGTTATGGTTCCCAATTCCCTCAGCTATAAGTGATGGAGCCAGTGTTCAGCCCCAGGTCTGAGACCCTAGATCCTGCCTTAAACTTCTAGGCTTTGCTCCATCTCATTGAATTCCCTGGAAAAAGTGCTTTGGGGGAATCAGTGAAAGCCTCAGTATAATGTGTGTGAGAGAGACTACATGGAGCTTCAGACCCCTGGAAGAAAAAAACAGGATCATTGTGCACTGTCTCCCACACTAACTTGGGGAGCGTGGCTATGGAACTTAACAGTGGCCACTGAGAGCATCTCTTCTTTTCAGTGACAATCCAGGCCTGCCTCCTAGAGGTGACTTCTGGCTCACCTCTCATAGGATTGGTGGGTCAGAGACATACAGACACTTAGACAATCCTTTCCTGACTCCTTTTTCCTGGTGGCTAATCTTATTTATCTTTTTATTAAAAAAAAAAAGTTTTCTGGTTTTAAAACTAACACAGGGGCTTCCCTGGTGGCGCAGTGGTTGAGAGTCCACCTGCCAATGCAGGGGACACGGGTTCGTGCCCCGGTCCGGGAAGATCCCACATGCCGCGGAGCGGCTGGGCCCATGAGCCATGGCCACTGAACCTGCACGTCCGAAGCCTGTGCTCCACAATGGGAGAAGCCACAACAGTGAGAGGCCCACGTACCGCAAAAAAACAAACAAAAGAAACAAACAAACAAAAAACAAAACAGGGCCTTCCCTGGTGGCGCAGTGGTTGAGAGTCCGCCTGCCGATGCAGGGGACGCGGGTTCGTGCTCCGGTCCGGGAAGATCCCACATGCCGCGGAGCGGCTGGGCCCGTGAGCCATGGCCGCTGAGCCTGCGCGTGCGGAGCCTGTTTTCCGCAACGGGAGAGGCCACAACAGTGAGAGACCCGCGTACTGCAAAAAACAAAACTAAACTAAACTAAACTAAACTAACAGAGGTTCTTAGTAAAAAATTAGTTGAAGTGGTGATAAAAGGTTACAGAAGCAAATAAAAATCGCCTTAATAGCATCCCATTAGAGGCATGATTATTATGAATATCCTTCCAGTCTTTTTTTATTTGTGTGTATGTGCACACTCATGTACCTGTGTGCTAGTGTCCAATGCACACATAAGAGCTCTGCACTATCGCAACTAGACCACAGATACTCATATGACTCTATATAAAGACAGCAAAACCAAACTTAGAGAGGGTGAGTAATTTGTCTACATAATTAATAGTCGTTAGTTACTAGAGCTTAGCAAGAAACAACCTAGTCAGGATGTTAATACAAAAATATTAGGCTTCATCCCCTCTGGAAGAAAAGACACCAAACCAAAATGTTGATGGCAATACCAGAACTTACACTTTCTGGGTATAAGTTTTTATTCTTTTCCGATGAATATGTACTATTTATTAGGCCATAAAGGATAAATGTTTTTGAAATAAACAATTGATGAGGTACAATGGACTGAATGTTTGTGTCCCCCCAAATTCATGTGTTGAAATCCTGACCCCCAATATGATAGTATTAGGATAGTATTAGGCCTCTGGGAGGTGATTAGGTCATGAGGGTGGAACCCTCACAAATGCCCTTATAAAGAGACACTGCGAAGCTCCCCTGCCCCTTCTACCATGTGAGGACACAGCAGAAAGATGGCCATCTATGAACTAGGAATGTGCTGTCACCAGACACTGAATCTGCTGGTGACTCCTTCTCAGACTTCCCAGCCTCCAGAACTGTGAGCATAAATTTCTGTTGTTTATATAACACCCAGTCTATGATATTTGTTATATCAGCCCAGATGGACTAGGACATGAGGTTAAAAACAAGAGGCTGAAAGAAGCAAACACCACCAGCAGCATGCATTTATTGAACACTTACTATGTACCAGGCACTGTGCTGAGGGCACTATTTCATGTTGGCTCCACAACTCTGTACTACGGTGTTAATATCACCACTTTGCAGAATTAGAGGCTACAATTCAGTGAGGTGAAGGACAAATCTCAAGGTCTCACAGTTAGTAATGATGGTTCTGGAAAGATTTGACTGATTCCAAAACCAGGAATATCATTACCGCTTTCCACAAGCAAATAGAAACTTTTTTTTCCTGCTGAGGATCCTCAAATGCATATTCGAGGGAAGATCCTTGCATTAGTCAGGGTTCTGCAGAGAAACAGAAACTATAGGATATACAGGGATATATCCTGGGATATATATATAAGAGGAGACCTATTACAGGAATTGACTTACTTGGTTATGGAAGCCAGGAAGTCCCACCATCTGCCATCTGCAACTAGAAAACCAGAAAGCCAGTGATGTAATTCAGCCTGAGTCTGAAGGCTTGCCAATCAGGGGGTTGATGGTGTAAGTCTCTGAGTGTGAAAGCGTGAGTACCAGGAGAACCGACATCCAAGGGCAGCAGATGGATGTCTCAGCTCAAGCAGAAAGAGAGAGCCAATTTGCCCTTCCTCCTCCTCTTTCTTCTATTAGAGCCCCCAGTGGATTGGCGGGTGCCCACCCACATCGAAGGGCCATCTGCAATACTCAGTTCCCCAATTCAAATTCTAATCTCTTCCAGAAACGTCCTCAGAAGCACACCCAGAAATGATGTTTTACCAGCTATTGGGGCATCCCTTAGGCTAATCAAGTTAATACATAAAATTAACCATCACAATCCCTAAGGAATTAATGCTCCTGCTTAAAAAAGGAGAACTTGGCTGTCAAGGACAGAGTGAAACCTGTACGTTCAGGTGTTGCCAATGACATTCCAAATAGAGGAGCCCCTTCTCAAAAGCAGCATTTGTTCTCCGATCATAAAAGAATTGGCGTATTATGGCTACAGGCATGGAAAAAATGTGTGCGTATGAGGATAAAAAAGGATGTAATACGTAAATAGGAATACTGTGTTAGGGCACCGGAATTTTTCATGATTATTTTAAAGCAAATCCCAGAATTGTATTTTATCTGTAAATGCTTTAACATTTATCTCTAACAAATATTTAAAACAAAACATAACCACAATGCTTTTATCACACCTAAACAGAATTAATAATAATTCTTTAAAATCATCTCATCTATATTCACATTTTTCCAAGTGTCTCCACATGTCTTTTTTCTGTTGGTTTGATGGCATCACAGTTCAACCTCATATTAGGTTTGCCTGTCTCTTTTTTTTCTTTTAATGCTTTTTTTCATTTCTAATATCCTACTGGTCTTTTAAAAATTTTATTTATTTACTTAATTAATTTTTTTGGCTGCATTGGGTTTTCGTCGCTGTGCGCG